AAATTAGCAATATTTCGTTCAACTTCACGGGAAATCGAGAATCGAAACTTTAGAATGCAAATACAGCGTCTCTCCCCCATGATTTACACCTTAAGAAAGGAAGAAGAAAGAATGGAAATAAAAGAAATTAATATCCGTTGTGAAATTCAGCATAAAGCCGTTTAATTAAATACCTGAGCACGATTGCGACCCCCTGGATGGGGTTGAAGCGGTCAGCCGGGCCTGCGTTCGTGCCGGTCGGCTGCTATTATCATAAACGCAACAATAACGAGGGATGATCCGACGTGTAAACTGTTAAACCCTCCTCCCCTTGGCTCTTTTTTGGCGAGGGTGAGGATTATCGTGGGGGCCATCCATTCGAACCACGTTCCCGGGGCTGGAATCCACGGGGGATGTTATTGTTGCCGCAAAGAGTGAGAGAAAGCGGTCGGCGAGCTACTGGAAATAGAGATAGTAGTAGCAACGGTAGACTCTACTGTAACTGTTAGGCTAGTAGTCCACAGGACCACCCCGTTCAACCCTCGATAATATTGACGGTGTTTGCCGCCTCCTCCTATTACGAGCTCGATTGAACCAAACTATACGATTATCATGCGTCACTGATAGTCTCTCTAGATTGGATGAGATCCTGGATCTACATAGAGAAAGGGGGGAGCACTCCCTTCGATATATAATTTCTTAAGACGAGAGGTTAGCGTATCTTTTTTAGTAAATGGTATTAATATCGAGCTATACGGGCCAAGATATTTGTATTCTCTTTTCAACATCGCAATACGTGATACGTAAGAATCAATATTGTAAATCACAAAGATTCACAGAGATTTGCTCGTCTCGTAACGAAAGAAGCGCTTTCCAACCATTTGAATCGATTTAATAATCATAGACAGTTTCGAAACAATCTCTAACCGGAACAAGTGGATCGATGGTCCCTTGGTTAAATGCATTCATAGCAGACAACGAGTGACGCTCGCACATGGAATACATGAATACGAAATCCTCGAAGTTCATTATCGGAACGTTTCGCGAGTCTACCAAGTTGTGAAACGCTCAGATGGTACTTGCGCGAGGCAACCGTCGACCATGGGTCGTACACAGTGTTTCAACCGGCGACAGTGTACTGCTGCTCCTCCGTGGGTAGCTTATAATCAATTCAATTAAAATTGATTTCCACTCGTCACGATACATCAAACAAAACGGGCCGTTGGTCCCCTCCCCTCCCCCCCTTTCTCTTCCCATCCTTTTTCAATGCGGCATCGCTCTTATTTCGTTCTTCCCCCTTGACTACCGTAAAAAGCATGATCTCGCGATTCGAAACCGAGTTATAAATATTCAACGGGAGTCAAAGACCGGGGGGGGCCGGGCGAGTAGTTAGAAAAGAGGGGGAGGTTGGAAGCTCGTAACCGTTTTGTTCTTTTGTCAGCGTCGTCATTATATCGTGTGCCTTCAATTTTTTTCCGTCTCCCCGGCAGTCGTGTTTGCGTGGGCGTGCAACAGCGCGAGGATTCGACGGCTTCCTGCTGCGAGAAGGGAGGGGGTTTGAAGCGACACGATTCGTGTATAATCGGGGCCTATCCTTGCCTTCCTTTTCTCACTCTTCCCCTATATACGTTTCACTCGTGGATACGTGATGCGTGCTTGATTTTCCTGTATGTTGATGCACTCGCCAGGGTGAGACACGCGCCTACACCGGGCGCGCATTGCCCTTTCGAAAATCCGTTATTAGCATCGAGCCTCCATTATGACGTTTCGCAATGCTGACAAATACTTGGCCCCGTCCTCTGTCTTCCGCCGTCGCTGCGGCTGTGCACGCGCGTTTACATATTATTCGAGGGAACACGGGACACGCGCCGCCACGCTCCCGGGCCCTTTCACCTACGCGGATATTGTGCTTCTGTCGAGAACGTTGTTTTCTCCTTTGTCTTCCGTGTCGTTGATGGACGAAGATACTCGATACGAGTCTGCTTGCGAACTGGTTACGCTTCTCTATTGGCGAGCAGGTTCAATCAGGTTGACGCAGATTGGAGTATTGACCATCATTGGATCGTTAATTCAGTGAAATCTGCAATTTTTTGTAATAGTTTTTAATACTTTCCTATTATTTGTTATATATGTTGTAATTAATTAAATCAAGCTTTCGATTATTCGATTCTGTTCCAGGTTACCAAAGTACGAATTATCAAGGAGGATACGATCCTGGACATAACCAGCTTGGAATGGTGCCTGGTCCGTGGGCAAGGGGATACGGCACTCCTCACAATTACCATCAACGTTATCCGGAATATCAGCAAAAGAATAATTACAATGTCCAGCAATACGGGCGAAATAATTATCAAAATCCACAATATAATAGTTACGGTTCGCAGTATAATCAACAACGGGTAAGATTTTGATATGTAAAATTAATTGTAAATTCCTGAAAATGAATGGAATAATTAATTAATGGAAAAATTTTATCGTTTGAAAAATAAATTTCTTTCATTATCATTTAAATTAAATTAATTAATTTGATTTCAATTAAAAGATTTTTAAGAAAATTAATTTTGAGAAAGATTTTTCGTATAAAATGGTCAAGGCATTAAAAATATTATCACATCTAATAATTTAAGAGAATGACACGTTTTAGCATGTTTTATAATTAATCACTTTTTCTTATGATGTTTTAGAATTATTCTTCTAACTACCAAGGGAATAGTGGTGAAAGTGGGGGAAGTAGGGGAGGAGGATGGAGACGGTCAACGTAGACCTTTCTCTATTTAATTAATGCTATCATAGATCTTGAATTTAGATTTATAAGATTTTTCGTTTATAATCTAGAACTCTGGAAATATGTTTAGATTCAGGAATCTATCAACAACTAAATTGTTCTTTTTTTTTTGTTCATTTTATCTATTTATATATGAACTTAGATAAATATAGATGAATGTGCAATATTTTAAATTCATTCCAATATTTGTTTTTTTTTTCCTTGAAATTTCTGAATCTTGCATTTTATGAGAATATTATCGCTTGTTTAACATTTAGATTAATTAATTATACTTTTTTCTTCAGATATAATAGATGCATAATATGATCTATGATGGCAATTATTATTCATAACACATTAGGAATATAAGCAGTATCAAGTATAATTTTATATGAACTTTAATGTGAATATACACATTCACAAGGAACTGTACGATAACAACCATCGCTGAAGATTGCACCTTGGCTATAAAAATTCAGATAGAAATAGAAGGAACAATCTTTAAGCGAACGCGATTTGTTAACATAAATTGAATTGTACAATCAAAACTCAAGTAATCATGTTAAATGTTTTCTTGTATAATTATTGTTAGCCAATGCAATTTAGTTCACTTAAAAAAAAAATTTTAAACTTTGTGAAGATTATTCATCTATTCACGACAAGTTTAATTATAATATATTCTGATATTACAATATCATGGTTGTGTCTAATCATTGTTTGTAATACGGAATATTAATTCAAACGTTATCCATTCCTGTAGATTTTGTCATATATGATACAATATGATGAATAATCTCATTTCGTTGCAAAATTTTAACCTTATTTTATAGCCTTGTTGTCATGACTTCAGTTTTATCGGATATCCGTCGTGCATACATATCGTTCGTGTACAACCAATTAAAAGGAATATATAAATCCTTTTCATTATACACTAACTTGCACATCACACGTGGAAACTTTTTTATTGTATTCACTTGAACAAAAAAAAAAAGTATAGAAATATAATTTAATTAATTCGCGATATTCTCTTCCGCGAATTTTTTCATATCTTCATGTTTTCCAAAAATCCTCTCAATCAATCCTTTCTAAAACAAAAAGTTCAATTTTTATCAATAGTAAGGTGTTATTTTTGATACGAAGAATAAAAAAAAAATTTTGGGAAGCTAGGTGGTGATGGTGTAACCGTGACGCATGGCGTTGTATGGTATCAAAGTTGAAACCAGGCGGTCCGGGTACATCTGGTACCGGTCTACCAGAGCGGGCGAGCATTGAACCAGCGAGTACCACTCGAGAAAACAATAGCGAGCAACGCTCTTGTTCTCTTTCCTTCTCTCTCTCTCTCTCTCTAACCCTCTGTCGTCACCCTGAAATCTGGAACCCATATTGTAGAACCGTTTCATCGGAAACGGAGACGCTCGATCTCTTTAGTCAGACAAACTTTGGGAATCGATACGATTTTAGCTGACATTATATAATAAAAGATACTTATTTATGCTGCAACAAAGAATACAAATTTTTAATATCATTTTTTGTTATGGAATATTTGATTCAATATAAAATAAATATAATAGATCTATGAAAATATTTATATGATAGGTATGCATAGTACATCGGAGAACTTACGATAAACATCACAATGGAAAGAGTATCGTATTTTGCACGACCCATTTAATTTGCAATGCCCGCATAAAATCCTCTGATCGTATGATGATCCAAGTCGATACTTCCGATAACCCGCATGAGTAAGTGTAAACAACTCTTTCAGTCTCAGATTCTCACACTATATATTCCTTTAACTCGTTCATCTCTATTCGATGTTATTATAATTTTCTAATCTAAATTTGCTCAGTTATAATTATTATATCTTTCTAAGTTAATTTAATTCTTTTTTTAACGTATCAAACTTTCCAATTCTAATTCTAATTCTTTTTCAAAACTTATAAAAGTTACTTTTATCAGTGTGTCCTTCGATGAAATATCGCGTTTCTCTTTGAGGAATTTCGCAGAGGATGCATCTCGAGCCTGGTTATTGCGTCTGCACGCGATTATGGATGATCGAGCCGTTGTGCGTGCCGCGCATACTCCTCCACTCCGAAGTGCTCCTTTCTGTGAAGCTTGCGGCGTTATCTCGGCTTCCTTGTTGTCCCTTTGATGAATAAAGCACTATCCGCGGCGAGATCTACCCCACGTTAGTAGTTACGGTTCCCGGCCTCTCTCCCTCTCTCCTCTCTCTCTCTCTCTCTCTCTTCTCTACATGATGTGTACTACTTTCTCTTTCCCTCTCTTTATTCTCGAGTTCTCTCGACGATGCAGGACACAATGCGGCCCTTACATCTTCATCGAGTACGAGTCGTCGCTTGCGTGTAATGCGTTCACTCTGTACTTTCCATACGGGTATACGAGTTCCCATTTCCTACTACCTCTACTTGGATTCGCTCGGACAATACTCGTCTCACTCACTTCTTTTTAAATCCTTGTTTTTCCTTTAAAGAAAAACATAAGATAAACATAATATAATTTAAGCATGTATTCGGCGTTTCATTTAGAATATTTGCATTAATCAATTTTTTCAAATTTTTTCAAATGGATACGAAACTGAAAATATTCAAATATTAGAATAATAAAAGAAAGTTAAAAAAAAAAATTATAATAATTTTAAATATTTACAAATTGTTAAAAATTCTGTAAATATATATCTCATTTCTTTTATATAACACCAGAGAAATGGATACGATTTTTTCACAAAATACCAAGCGTTGTTCTCTCGTCGATAAAGCTGATGCAAAATGCGTTTGTGTCGGCGAATACAGATTCCAATGCACTCGTGCGATCTATGCGGTTGAGAAAAAGAGAAAACGTAAAAACAACGATAAAAAGGAAAAGAGAAAAAAAGAATAGAGAAAAGGGAGCTAAGCGAGAGAGAGAAAGGGGCGAAAACAGAGAAAGGAGAAACTTTGGTACACGTAACTGGAGGCAGTCCGTTGGGTGGTTGAATCGTGGAGTGGAAGGCAGAGAGCCCTTATACGCTCATGAAGAAGAAGGTCCAGGTGCGCCCTCACCTCACACGACTCTGCTCCACGGCACATCCGAGTTCTCTTCTGCCTTCGTTTCTCTCTCCCTTCTTTAGTTTTTTCTTTTTTTTCTTCTCTGCTCTTCTTCTCTTTTCTATTCCTTCTATTTTCTTTCCTCTGGCAGTCGGCGTTCTCTTACGCACTTCCGCCATGGTGTACGCATTGCTCTCCGGCAACGTAAAAACGCAGCAACCCATGTAATATCGTGACATACGTTGGATGCTCTGTGGATGTGTACATGCAAACGCGCACGCGCACACATTTATATATATTCGTACATGGGTACAGGCACCTAAAGGTAAAGAATAGGAACTGAAGTACCAGCGTGCAAAATGGATGGCGGATATAAATGCCAAGTAGCCAAGTATGCGGCACTCTCTCTTACCCATTTCGTTCTTCTCTCTTATCTCGCTTGGTCTTGTGTGATTTGCCGTATTGTCCTTTTCTCATTCGTACATATCGTTTTGTACTGACTATGCCGCCTGCATTTGATAAGTATGTATTGGCCGAGTGTCTACGGTCGTTTGCGCGGTGCGAAACGACGCGGAAAGATCAAGCAGCTGCGAATAAATTTTTATGCAGGCTATAGAAACGAAGAAACGGAAGTTAACCAAGCACCAAAAAAATTAGAGATCACGATTAATACACCAATTCACTATATTTTACACCACACGTGCTTCTTTCGAACACGTGTCAAAGTGCCATCTCTGATTTTATGTAGGAAACTAGCAATTTTTCTTACCAATCACGTGCATGGAAAGTCACCATAAGTGAAATATTTATGTAGAGTGTTACGTATATACGATCCATGACGTGATTTATTTTTAATTAATTAGCTGTGTACTGCAGATTATCTTAGAACTCATTGACAACGAAAATTGTGTGAGATAATGCGATCGTGCTTGGAAAAAATTGTGGGTGGTCGGTTTTCGTGACAGGTCGCGGAAAGATGAGCTCTTTGCTTGACGTGTACCTCGTTACCGCGTCGGTGAAGACAAGCTCAGACACCAGGGATGACGCAGCACCAGCTCCTGGTTACCTCTAGTCTATTGTTCTCCCCGCATTTCTTCTCAGCTCGTGCTCAAGTGCTCGATCGCTACCCTCCCTCGAAACCCGGATCCCTAGACGTGCTTTTAGCTCTGTACCCGCGTACGTCCTTCGTGACTAAACGGGATTGTAATTTTTTACTTGGTTAATAAAAACATCATATTATTTTTTAAAATTTATCCTTGGTCTCTGTACCAAGTCAACAATGATATTATAAAAAATCATTTAATCTATAAACAATATAATTATTAAAATATAATTTAACCTATTATTTAAAGTTCAAATACCTTATATTACAAAAAATTGATTACATATTTTGTCATTACGAACATCCGACGACCAAAATAAGGACAACGGTAAGATTCAGAGATTCAGAATCGAATGAGCAATCGGATAGCAAAAAGGAGAAAGGTGACGAGATGCGACCCCCCGTGAGGTTTCCCGCGCGGGGCACCCGCCTGTCGATAATGTCTCATACCAGTTACCGACAAGAACTTCACCTGCGTAACGCTTCGATTCCGTGGTTGACCCCCCATACGAAATGGACCCCCTGCTTGCGTCATGTCGATTTCTTGACTTCGATTGTCCAGTCTCGCGGAAATAACGATACGTCCGTATGGAAAAAGCGACAAATGCCACCGGTATGTCGTCACCCTGTCGTGGGGCTAAAACGTCGAGTAAAACTGAGCACGTTCGCCCCTGGTGGCCTCGCCGTGTGTGGGAACCTCTGATCTCGCGATTTTTCTTCGTCGTTCGAACATAACCTCTTGAGAATTCAGCGAATAGCCGATAGGCATATGCGTTTCTGTCGGGTATTAAAAGTGCGCGGGCTTAATTTTTACAAAAGCGTTGCCTGTGCACCCTGTGTGCTACCTTCTGCTCGATAAACAATATACTATCGTGTACACGCCAACGGGCCGATGAGTGGCCTCCCAGTACAATGCCATCTTATGACATTTTCGAGTTCGACCGTTGTTGTCGAGTGCTTAAGTGCTCGTTATACACGCCGCGTCAAGCTTTTGTCGTAGCAACTGTTTTTTCGGGCGTCGGTTAAGTGTGTCCGGGAATATGAGTTCGTGAAGTTTGTTTCCTATAGACAAGAATCGAAAATTAATAACGGACCAAACAAATCTTGTGGCTTGTGCATTACGATTTAACGAATATTGTGCTGGTGAAATTAATATTCGTTCAATTAATAGTATAGATACAGCGAATAATAAATACCAATTAACTAATCGATGTAAGTAACATCAATCTTTTTATCTATTGATATTTTCAATAAATTTATTGATTGTTTTAATTTCTTAATATTAATAAATAATTTTAACATTAAGGTAATATAATAACGAGAGATTCAATTTATTGTAAAATAAATACTGTAATAAATAATCAGTTTTCGCTGGCTTTTTTCGATTGATATAAAGGATCGAGAGAGAAAAGAGCGCGAAGAAAGTCTCGGTCAGTAGGTAGAAAGCTGGCTGTCACGGAGAAACATTTTCTATCGTCTTCGAGCGATTTACTTCTGGAGGTCAAGCTCGCCCACGTAACCAGCTTCACTTCAGGATTTCAGGGGCGTATCCACGGGGCGTGTTCACGGAGTCGGTAGGATCGACTAGGGGCGGAGTCATTTCCCCACCGTTTCCAACGCGCGATTTTTGCTCTCGGCAGGAACGACGCACACGCATATCCGCTATGTATATGCATGTAAGTCGCTGATTTCTCGTGTGAGTAACACCGTGACGTCGCAAGTTCGGACACGGGTCACAGACAGTAGACTTTGACGGGTTTTCTTCGGCCGATCGCCAGCTAAACGATTTCTTATGCCGCGACATTGAACGCTTCGTTGTTAAGAAACGATTTTTAATAGAGTGCGCTTTCCTCATTTGACGAACTTATACGAAGAATAAATCTTGTGAGTGCATCAAGCGTCAACGATACTTTTCTATGATTGTTCGGTGTTTTCTAACCTTAATTTTTCGTTAAGTTACCAGGACTTGAACGCGACATATTAAATGTAACTTTTTTTCATCCTTTTTTTTCATTATTTCATTTCTTCTATCCTTTTGTCATGGATATATAATATTTTCATAGTTGGTAACCAGTCTAATATTCTTATCAATGGGAAAAATAGCTTTGAAAGAGTGTCGAGTTTTGATCAAATTTATATACTGAATTATTAGAATTTAAAAATACTATCAAAAATTATTAAAACAGAAATTATTTGAAAATATATTTGCAAAAACATGAATGAAAGCTTTCTAGATAATAAAGAAAGAATGAAATATAGAAAAAACTGGAATAAACTTCGATTATTTTCAACATATAGTATCATAGTTTTATAATCATGATATAATATGAATCTCGATATATATATAGTACGAATATCTATCAGATCTTGGATATTTTTGACCAAAATTGGGATTTAATAACGGATCGACGAAATATCCATTTCAGGTGGCGCGATTGATTGCACATATAGATATATCTTACGTACGGTGAACGAGGGAATATCGCAAATTCCGTGACGGTACGGATGGCAAAGGCATTCTGGCGTAGCAATTACCTGCAGGGCGAGGGAGTCAAGTAGCAATATCTGGACCTGTTATCCAGTTCGGTTATCCCGACTGGAATGCTTTGTGTCGCCGGCAATCTGCATTTCTACCTGTTTGAATGGAAGTCTATGAGATTCGCGGCATGATTTCAAATGAAATCGACTCTTTGTCCTCCGGCCGGAAATTTCCAATTCAATAACGTGCTCAGGGAAACGCTGCAGAAACGACTGATTGACTGATATCTACCCAGAATTGGATGGGACGCGAAAAAATAGAAAAGTTTTTCTATCCATCGTCCATCATTGGAGAAACTCGAATGCCTTATATTTAGTCAAGATTTTAGTTTTGAGTTGAATTATTGAATCTTATTAACATTTTTTAAGTATTATCTTAAAATTTCATATAATTTTTTAAGTTTCATCACTTAGAAACAAGTATTAATAAAATATTTGAAATATTGAATTTCAAAGAATGTATGTTTGAAAGTTTATTGTATTTTAGCAAGAATCCCTAGCTTTAAGAGAATTCTTCTATTGGAAGCTATGAATGACGAATGCCAAGAACTTGCTCGACAACCCTTTGTAATGCATTAGAATTTCGCAGCTATCAACAAGGGAGGAAGACGACATTAGCATCAAGGCTAAGGACACCCTTGCTTCGCATTCGCGTCTTAGATCGAAACAACCCCATGTTTTCGTTGGCCCAGTATTCATGAACGAGATTTCAACGTGGGGCATTCGACTTCCTTCTCCTTCATGAATTTACAATCGACCGAAGGATTCGCGTAAACGAAGCTTACGTGTGCCATTTCCAGAGAAATAGCATTAAATATAGAAACTTAAATATCGATCTTAAAAATTTCAAACAAACTTTACTATGAGTGAAAATATCTCCTAGGTATCTATTTTTATATGTTAATATTATGTTAATATAAATTTAATGCAATTTTAATTTTTATTTCTTTCTACCATGATAATAATCTTTGTTGATCATACTTTGAACACTATATCTATATCTATATCTATAACTATATCTATTCCTAATAATATCTATTCCTTTTTTCATTTATATAATAATAGATAATCGGATCAACAAATGAAAAATTGGTTCGAAAGACGATTTATTAATCGTATCAAAAACAGTATATATAACAATAAATTCGTGGTCCAGCTAATAAGGGGGTTAGAAAGAAAGGAGAAAAGGGAGCAATAATAACGAGAAAGATAGCAACTGAAGGTTTAGTGGACAAGGGTTAACGGGGTGAGGGAAAGCGGATGGAGGCTGAAGCCACGTGCTGCTGTCACTGGCACAGATTATATTATATAGGAATGGCAGCGAATAGGTGTAGATATAAGCGTCGAGCGGCAGTTAATAAATATGATAATGGCGGGTGAAGCGAGAGAAAGAGAGGTATGTGTGGGGTGCGATATGGGATACCAGTGTATAAGAGTGACCACCAGAAGCAGAGGCCTGTCACTGTCAGGACCTCTCATATGTCATACGGTATACGCACACACACACACACACACACACACACACAAAGGCACACGCGCACGATGACAAGATTGAGCGTGAAACGTGTGTGACCATTTTCCCATTTTTCTACTTTGATGTGATTTGATTATACGGGATATTTGAGTTCGCATAATGCAAAAATTTTTTATTTCTACGTGAAAGTAGCTTTCATTTTTTAAATTGACCTATTTATTTTTTTCAGATAATAAAATTTATCGGAGCAATCATATTTAATAGATTTATATAATTCCAGTAAGTGTTTGAACACATAATCGATCGATTTTAACAAATATATTCAACACACGATTTTCACACGATTACATACAACTTATACATACTTTTTTTTTTTTACATCTTAGATCTGTAAGAAGATGAGGAAACTATACCGTAAGATTTAGCATTTAGAAAAGAAATGCAAAATTGTTGAAGGATCATCGTCAGTGGTGGCGGTAATTCGTGAAATTTCATAATATCATGACGAAATGTTGGAGCAGGGAAGAAAAAGAGAATGAAGAATACGGCCGGCTTTCCCCTCGGCTTTCATTAATCTCACTTCCGCCGCAGAAGTCGGAAACAGTTTTCTGTCGAGCAACCTTTTCCCTTTTGACCCGGTAAATTGCGCGCGCGCGCGTGTATACGCGCGCTATGCCGTGTGTACCTGTAGCCGCTCTTCCAGGAGCAATTAGTCACGGTGCTCTTGATAAATCGCCGGAATCCTACCCCCGTGGGGTTAAGTCCCGGCTGCAGACCCTCGGCAAATATCCAATAACAACCGTGATGGTTGTTGCTTCCTCTCTTCCTCTCTACCTGTATGCCGGGCATTAACCTTCACCTATCGAAGAGATCGGCTTACCTTAATAATCGTAGCTACACCGTCGCATTCTAAGGGGGTTACGACGTTACGAGGCCAGCAACACGCGGCGCTGGCTCGCGCGAGGGTGTTTCCATGGTTGCTAGTCGCGAAGCTGATTCGTTCCACGCCATGAGAAACGGGCATGATCAAAAATCGTCAGAGATGTAATGAAACATTCTTAGTCTTTTTTCTTTGTCCAGGGCAGGAAGAGTAAAAGGTTGATTGTTAAGCCCGATCGGGGGGGAGGTATTGGGGTATATCTCAATAGGGGAAGGTAATTAGTCGAGCTTTCGTCAGATCAGTGTTTGAGGAGGATTGTATTTTTTTTTTTTTCGTAAATTAAATTATAATCCGTGATAAAATGTGTCGTGATGTGTCGTGATGATAATAGTATATGGACTTCTTAAAAAATGAATCGAGACAAAAAGGATATTCTCTATGAGATATTTTGTAAAATTTCTGGAAACTTTATATTTTTTTCTTATAGATATAATAAATCGTCAGAGAATATTGAAAAATAGAGCGCATGTATATATATATATCTAATAATACAAAGAAAACAATTGCTTCGGTGGTCTGATGACTTGCTGAATCTTGCTGATCAGCGCTTTTCGAGTCGTGTCAATTCTTCGCGTCCCATTCAGCTGTATATTCAATCTTTTGTCGAATCTCGAGAGTTAATAAGAAAAGAGAGAAAAAATATGAGAGAGAGAGAGAGAGAGAGAGAAACGTAGGAAAAATGGGATAGGATATAAATATATGTTTCGATATATGCACTATATACAGCAAGTTTAAATTCCTTTGAATAAGTATCATTTTATTAATATCTCTGTCGTTATTTACAAAACTTTGTAATAATCTCTAATTTTTTTTTTTTTTCTACCGTCACACGCTACTCGCTATTCGTCAATTGTTATATTTTTACGCTTTTGTGTGTACCTGTGTACGTATGAATCGGTGTGTACGTGTGTATTTGTCGTCTCGTGTGTATGTGTTATATTAATGTCGATAATGCTCGAGTTCGCTAAATCGTTTACAGTAGAACGCGAAATCCTTCGCGGGCGCCGTCGTTGAATTTCACCGCTTTTCAACTTCGGGGCCGGCTTCCATCACCTATTTCATACTTCTTTCCCGCGCTATCTTCGTCGCGTGTGCGCCTAAACATCGGCATACCACACATTATATTTACACCATCGAATTCACACCTGTGACCTCGTTATCACAGCGCGCACGCCACCTTTTCACTCACGCACACACACACTCACACACACACATATACAGGTTCTCTCTCTCTCTCTCTCTCTCTCTCTCTCTCTCTCTCTTCTTTTCATATCCGGCACGTTTTGTTTTTCATCTTCGTCCTCTCGTTGTCGACCGTGGAAAATCGATTCTCTTCTACGCGAGCGAACCGCGCGCGTCACAATTTCAGCGACGGATGCGAGAAATACTCGGAAGTAATATACATCTCTAACTATGTACACGCGTGTCCCCGGCTCGACGTGTCCGTCTGAAATATGCTCGCGACACGGTTTCACCGTTTCCAAGAGAAAAGAAAGGAAACGTTGGATCCGAGTCGTTCAATTGAAAACAAACCACGCGTCTGCCGGTCGATTAATCCGTTTCGACTGTTTCGAATCTAATGTATAAGTCATGCTTATGCTCTTTCATCCCCGCCCTTTCGACTCTGCCGCTCGGAATCGTGAAAGTTAAGAGAATGCTATTTCACTACATAATTCAGGTTTATCCCCGACTGGCAGCCGATTGGTCGATCTTTTTTCCCCCGCTGATCCTTTTCACCACGAACAGATTCTGCTTCTTTCAACCGCTTCATCATAGAATCTGGGAAATGGTGGTTTACATTTGAGAAAAAATTGCGGGTTCATGTATTTATGTATGGAGGATTGTAAGAGAACGAGTTTTTCGTGGTAGCTTGTAGTTAGATTCAGGTAATAAGCGTCGTTTTTTTTTCTTTTTTTTAGGTACGGATTGTTTCTTGTTCTGTAATTGGGGATATCTGTTTGAAGTGACGTTTTTTTAAAAATGTTCCCAAAATATGAACGGAACCTGAAAGGAACAAACTTTCGACATTACAGTTTTTGTTTGTCGTATTTGAGATTCTGCGCTTTTAATTTAAGTACAGTAAAATTAAATTTTTAAGAAACATCCGATTGAAAAATTAAAGGATACGGATAAATTTATAAATGAATTTCAAAATAGAACAATAATTGCTACAAGTAAAGAACACTATATAGAACTATATAGAAATTTCGTTCCTTTTTGTTGGTTTCAGATTCGTCTTACTTGTATTCCCTGTTGCGTGCAAATGGATTTTTTTTTTACTCGTTTCTAGAATTATTGATAACCAATGTAATTTCTGAAATCGATATTGGTCGAATCACGTGATTTGAACCAAAAGCGGCTCGATGTATCAACAATTCTAGAAGTATCGTCTTGAACAGACCCGTTTTCTCTGATTATTAACTATGGTTCGTTAGTTTTTTTTTTCTTTTTTTTTTGCTCAGATTATAATCGCGCGTGTCGAAGTAACGAATCCGTGGCTAAGATAAAACTATCTAAATTGCTAGATATTTCCTTTTTAAATTTTTATTTAAAATATTTTCCTTTATGGATCCTATTTTTTTTTTTACAAAAATCGTTAAATCAAATTTTTTTCATATGGTATTATTTTCTCTTTGGTCCGTTGGAATAAAATAACTAGAACAATTCAAAATTTCAAAGTTAGTCTTCGACCATTCGTAACCGCTCCGCACGTAGAATTTCTATCCAGTGGTAATCTGAGTCCTTTTTGACGTTACACGTTGTTGCAGTACAACAATGTCGCGAAAGTACGTCTCCGATGACACACGCAATGCCCGCGATCGGTGTACGGTTTCTCGCAGTTGGAATCGACACGTTTCGAGTGCACTAGCCAGATTATTCGCGCGCACCGTTTCAACGTTTCGTTTCATCGATGCTGGTTTCGTTGGATGTAAATTTGTTATTGTATAAAATTAGTTAGATATCGTTTTTACTTCGATTGAAGATCATCGTTATTCTTAATTTAGAAAATAATCTTTTTAAGGATTAGTTAGTCTTATTAAATTGAAATTTAATTAATATTTGTGAATACTTGGTTGAAATTATTCTTTTATGTGAATTAACATGAATTTCTTTTATATGAATTAATGAGTGGCGGACAAGATTCTTTCTTACAAGATGCTTTCTTCGAAGCAACTTTTTTAAATTAAATTAGAAAGTACTTGTATCGTTAACATCGAATTGAAATTCTGATTTTTCTTTGAGTTACTTTGTTTTCATATTATTGAAGATTAACCGCCGATGAAAAATAGACGATTGGGTAATAGCTACGTAATCCAATATTTTTTTCAGTGGAATTCGTTATCGTTATTAGGATAAACAAGTATTAATCGTACGTATAATAACGTTCTTCCCATGTTCACACTCGTCTTTGTTCCTGCATTCTCAAATTTCTCTTCCAAGATAGAATCATATTAAATATTCGTTGAAATTGAAACAATTTTGCAATTTAGAAAGACTCAACTGTTTTCGCAAAACAGATCTTCAGACTAAACAGGAAACAGAATTGAATTTCTACAATAGTAATTGTCAAATTGTTAAATTGACAAAAATTGATGTAAGTACTTTGTATCGCAGAAAATTATTCGTATTTCCAATTTTTTTTTTTTTTTAGATCCATCACGACTTTCATCGATCCAAATATCTAATATAATAGTCAAAGTGATCCGCACCTTCGTTGAAGAAAAACTTCCTTGAAGCTGTACAAGAGAAAGATTTTCACGCTCTGAACACTGGCTCCAAGTAACCGTCCTGCGGTCCACGCAGAATTCTCTTTTCCCCCCTCAATGTCTCTCGAATCACTTCATCTCCGTTGAAGACAATTGTTAAGCGTCTGCACCTTGTTGCGAGCGGACGATTTCACCAAGTCTCTGTCCAGTATCTGCGTTGAATATTCGTCACTAAGGAAGGACAATGTATCCTCTAGATCAGTCTCGTCGTTCAATTCCAATGAGTTCCAGCCATCTAGGTAAGCTGTTCTGGAAACGAATTCACGGGATACGGACTTTTTCTAGGGGCTGTCTTCCAAAGGGTACCAAGCAGCTGGACCTGCGACGGAGGGATTGGCCCCCGCCGCGGATGGCATGTACTACCAGGCCCGGCCTTGGAAAGGTAGGTACGCGCCGCATTGCGGTTGTTGTTGCTGTTGCATGCTCTGTTGGGCACCAGTCCTCGAGTACGAGCAATGCTGAAGACTCTGGCTGGACGTTATGACGTGGTTCACACCGACCACCGAGTGATGAGGTACCGAAGAGGCCGCGTGATGAGAGCCGTGAGGGCTCGACGCCGCGGTCATGTGAGGGGCTGGACTCGCCAAGGCCGCGCTTGGCCCGCCACGACTGCCCTCGTTTCCGCCCCCGCTTCCGCATGGTTTCCCATCTTTTACCAGCACCGGCACAGCTACCCGTCGCGGCGAACTGGCACTCTGTAACAGAGAGAATAAGATCATACAGACATAGGTGTATATATATCTATAATTTCGCGTTTGGAAACGATGATAAAATGATTTTATCAATCACGAACGTATTTTTCTTTTTAGAATTCAGTTCTCTAAAGCTTCGTGAGGAAGGGATTAAATTTCGAATCTCCGACATCGTTCGTCCAAGAGAGAGAGAGAGAGAAAGAGAAACGACAGCCTAGGCTATCCGATCGAGCGGTGTGTACACTCAATCCACACGTAGGTGCACAGGCTGTGTACGACGAGCCATGGAGAAGACGACGTCGTGGCTCGGCTTCTGTGTTCCAAGCAAACACGTGGGCTCGGTAGGCACAGGTACTTAACCCGTGCGATACTTCGTGATCAGCATTCGAGCGTACTCGTACTCTAGCAGCCTGGGAGAGACTCTCTCTCTCTCTCTCTCATTACGAATAAACAGTACCAGCTACCGTGGACCACAGCCGGGTTCCAGCCGGGGCTCTGTCGAGCCGCGTCAACATCGAGAACTGCTGTCCCTCGTCTCCCTGCGTTTCTATCCGGGGGGATTGAATACGACGAGCGGGACCCCACGGCATGCCAAACAGAAGCCGAAGCAAGCCGGCCGAGTACCTGCCGGGACGACCACTCAGCTGTATCAACATTCGGTACACGACATTCCTCTTCGATCTCCACGTCAGCGACGCTTTAATAATATGATCGCGGCCGCTCGGAAATAACGCCTATTCCGACCGACGGACTGGATGGATCGTCCTTTTTAAAAATCTGGATGGAAAATTGCGAAAATTGCGAAACACGCGTCTCTTTTGGATCATCTAAAAATGCTTCGTTGATTACTTAGTATAGAGTGTTAGATACGTCTTGAGAGATCGTATATACATACAGACTGTATTTCAAGTGGAAGGTAAACATCGAGTAGAAATTATTTTTAAGAAAGATCGCTTCGATATCTCGAGAGAAGATACGAACGAAGCCTCTAGTCTATGAACGCGTCGGATGAAGTTCAAGAATGGAGAATAAATGAATAAAAATTCTGATAAAATATATTTCGAACGAGAGCTTCTCTATATTTACCCGATCTACACGTTTTTTCCATTACAGATTCGCAGATTTTAACTCAGCTCGCCCAGAAAAATTTATTTTAAAAATAAATGTCTATCGAGGCTGTGCAATGATCGGGCGTCCGGAGGTTTACGTATGAAAGGAAACAATGGGGGTGGAGTATGTAACAACGATTCGATTCGAGTGGCCAACACGAACTTACGTGCACGTTACTGGCCGCGAACATAAGTGCAGGCATGCCGTGCACTTCACGCTGACAAAGTGACGATTACGCTAAACGCATGACGGTCGGCGCGCGCGTCACGCGTCACGCCACTTTAGCCACTTCAACACGCGTTAAGCGATTTCCGGCGAAAATGGCCGTGCTTAGGAACGGAGTAGTACGTGTTTATGAGCGGCGACCACCGCGCCATGCATAATGAGCCTCAATGTTGCCGTGATCGCGCGGCCGCGATTGAATTCTCGGGAAGCATATTATGCGTCGATTTCCCTTTCCCCCTTCGAGGAACATCGTCCCCTTTTCAGTTCAGAGTATACATATTTCCTTCCACGGAAGCGATCGTTGTCACCGGTTGCTTTTTAGGTTAAGGACTCGACCGAGATTCTATTTTTTTTATATCTCTATGCTTAAGCGAGTGAAACAGTGTTCGATTTTATATTTCCCTTTTATCTCTCGTCTTAATATTAATCATTATTTGGCGATTTAATCGGATTTATTGTGTATACCTAATATTTTTTCCCCTAATATATAGGTAAGAAGCGAGGCTGGAGAAAGGACAAACAGCTAGCAAAGAATATTCTGTATAGACGATCGCCTTTTTAAAAAGATACCCTTTACGGAATATTTAATTCCTTTAATATATCACGAGGAGACGAGAAACGAGGGCAGGGATATTTGCAAAATAAATTGTACTTGAAACATCTACGTGGTCGCAGCCGATGTTCATTCCATGTATACAACCGCATCGAATATCTAAATGTGCCGCTTGCGCGCGCCAGTGACTTCCACGTGAATGCATCTCTCGTGGAAAAACACTCGTCATCGTCGGAACTGATATAATTAACTAAAAGCTGGGCTCTACCAGTGCCACAGCTTTTCCCCTTTTTCGCTCCTCCTCCTATCCCACCACTACCAAGTCCAGCCCGGCGGTCGTCTATGTCTCGTTCTTTACAGAAACCTCGGTCGAACAAAGAACCACAAGAAGAGATATTAAAAGATTTCTGCCGGGACCTCTCGTTTCCACGACGAATGGAATTCAATGGGTTTTGTAAACGAGGAAGTGGTTTTTAAATCTAATAACCGATGTTTTACCACGAGTGTAATTACATTAGACGGTCTCTCGATACTCGCCAAACAACTTTCGCGCCTTCTCTCTGCCAGAAAAATGCTAAAACCAGGCCACGAAGTTTTCATTGCACTCTTATTTTTTTCAAGATTCGTAGAGAAGAATAATTTAAATTTTTATTTCATTCCTTAAAATTGTTACTGAGAATTAATGATAATAATAATTTATCATTTTCAAACAGATCTTATTATAACTTAATATTTAACTGTAAAAATTTTAATTTTGACTTTTCCTTACCGATTATTTAAATGGAACGATACTCTATCATAATACAACTTCGCTATCCGCGAACGATTTTCTATTTCTACATTCTGGACACAAAGATGTCGTATGTCATTCGACTTAATCTCGATTGCAACTCGAAGTTACAATCCGCGGGTCGAAAGATCGACAGCTCGCGTCTCGAGGGGAGGGTTAATCGATATCAATAGTAGTAGTATTGGTAACCCCGATTCGCGTCCAGGTGTTGTGCATGACTGTACTCATGGCAAGATGGCGACCGGTCCTCGAGCACCCGTTTCCGCGCTCCCCTGCAGGATACCTCTCTTCCCCTCTCTTGTCGTTCTCTCTTTCTTCTTCTCACCCGCTCTCCCTGCCCGTCTTTTTCTTTCTCTTTCTTTTTCTCATGCTCGCTCGCTCGCGCTGCCACTTGAAATTTTTTTACCGCCGCGAGGGGAGGAAATGGAATAAAACGAAAGAAAGGGAAAAAAGAGGGAAAAAAAATTGGAGCTCTGCCTACCAACCCGTCGTCATCGTCGTCGTCGACGACGTAGCTACCTTCACGTCGCATAGCGTTTTAAATATAAAAACGATTAATTTTATCAGTTATTAATGATTTTGTCACAATAAATATTTATAAATTATTCCGAATATAATTTAAAAATTTTAGATTCCTACGTTTTTAATACCAACTTTTCACAAGATAAATTTGTCAGATAAATTTTACTATATTTTGTAAATAATTACTTGGGGAAGATTGCGTTCCGAAAGCAGCAAAAATAAAAAGTTACCGAAATTTCTTTTATGCGAAAGATCCGATTTCTGTATTGAGAATGCTATCTATACGATGTACTTACTATACAAAACGTAAATGATATTGTTACGCCCGATACATGTGTACCATCCATGCATGTGATCCCTGCCACATAATTATACGTATCATCGAACAGATCAAGATAATACAATGAAAATACCGTGCGGAAAATAGGAAGGAACCGTAAACAAGTTATTGAATTGAAATCGAAACTATGATAAGTAATGGAGCAAAAGAGAAAGAAATAGTAAGTTACTAGCTATAAAAGAAGAAAAAGAAATGAAAAGAGAGATAAGGAATAAAAAGAAATGAATGAAAGTAGAATATATAGGGACTACGAAAAACTAACGAGTAAATTATGGGGCGGCTGCTCGTTCTGGCGTGGACGAATTGAGGGGAAAGGACGGTTCACAGATCGGGACACTGGATAACTTTCAACACCATTAATGTTCTATGGATGTTTACAAGCTGCCGCTTGGCGGCGACAATGTCGACTCTATTTAGAAACAAAATTGATCGCGATCTGAATAACTACTTGTTATATGTTTAAAAATTGAGATCAACACAATTATACGTTTAAAATCGTGATGATTGTCAAAAAAAAAAATTGAAAGATAATTTTAGAAATGAAATCGTGCAAGATCAAAAATTATACAAAGATTAAATAGTAAATAGTGAAAATAAATTTAATTAATTCCATCTAAAACAAGTGTTTGTCGTTTAAACTGAATATCACAATGGACCAAAACATGAGAATAACTTTGATCCTCGTCACCTGAAAAGTGGTTTTATGCGAAAATCGTGCGACGTATGTGCTTGTTTCCATCGAAATTCGATGAAATGGTGAAGTCGATGCTGGCCGAAAAACACGCTATGAAAATCCGCTTACCTCGAAACGCCATTCCACGTGAAGTGTCGCTCACGTTGAACGTATTCTTTGCAAAAATATTTTCAACTCGTAAAAAACATAGCGGTATAGAGAGAAAAAAGAAGATGCGATAACGAAGTAGCTAGATAGAAACGATTTGAAAACATTTCCGAGAAGCGTGTTGCACGTTTCATAGTCGTGCAAGAAATCCATTTTGAAGCGTAAGAAACTGACAGAGAGCAAATAATCGTCGGCATGTTGACACGAAAATGATTTTCAGCGCCGCTAAAACGACACGACATACCGATTCCCGCTAACTCGAATCGAACGATTTGCTGCTAATGCATGCCAGGACATCCGTGATCTCGCATACTCGTACCGGCCTGTAATGTATTCACCGGGACGAATCTGTCTGTGTGTATCGCTACGATCGCCGTCTTCTGACATCTCTTTTGAATGTTATTCTTTAGAAGGAAAGGGAACTTGGATGGAAGAGCGATTCGTATTCGTCAGTGCGTACGGCAAGATCGAGACAGGGCACGTTTCGAACTTGCAATTACGATATCTCGGGAATCTGGTGTGTCATTATTAAAATTGATAAAAAAGAGGGAAGAGAAAAAGAAAGAAAGAGCTTGTTTGACAGGTTTCTACAGATACGAAATAATATTCGTACGCTTTCGAAATTCTTGTTCTCGACGCCATATTTAAAAAATTACAATTAAAGTTTTACGTTTAACAATTTTCACATTATATATAACTTCATCAAATAACAAAGTTAATAAATACAAATATTACATAATTATTGAATATAAATATTGAAATATTTTAATTCTCTAATTTCTCTTTTCCAAAACAGTATTACTGATCAATGAATCGCGAGCTTGTCGAGACTGAAACGAATTTTGTCGTTCGTAAAAAGGTGAAAAACATTATAAAACATAACAAGATATACAGGAAAAATGATGAAGAGAAGAAAACAAAAATAGGAGATAAAAATAAAAATGATCCGGCAACAGTTAGTCGCGAAAACATCGTGGTAATTACATGTTTAACACAGACAATTTTACGTTTCATGGAGATCGGTATCCCTGCAAAAATTTCGACTGGAATAACGAAATGAATGCAGAATCGCTTCGAGCTGGTTGAGTGGACCACTCGAAACGAAATACGATGTGGATGCGAGGATCCGCGCCGCGTCCGGAATATTTTTCATTTAAAAGCATTTCATTTTGAAACGCTCGATATTTTGTCGTGTGTCTCGCCGTTTCGAAATCCCTCGGGAAATCCGATCTATCGAGGACGCGTATTATCATCACACGAGAGACAGTCGAACGACAGAATTTAATTTAATCCTTGCCTCCTCTCTTTCTCTAACTTTCTATACTTTTAGGCTGTATGTTACTATATTTTACTTTGATATTATATTTTTTGATTTGTTCAAATGTATTTAGATTAATTTTTTTATGTTTCTTTTTTTAACAGGTAATTACCTGATTTTGAGCATTCTGTTCGGCCATCGCCTTCTCCTTTGCTTGCCTCTTGCACTTGTATCGGTGATTTTGAAACCATATTTTTACCTGTAACGTGAAAAAGTAATTTTTCCTATTAAAATGAAATTATCATTAATAGGAATTACAAAAAAAAAGATAAGCAATATATTGTTTCAATTCTAACAATTTATAAGCTAATAAGTATATATTTTTTTAATTTTTTAAAATTTATAAACAATTTAAGAGGAAAGAAAAGTTGGATCGAATTATTAAATTTAAATCTAACTTTCTTTCTTTTCCTAGCATCAGAAGCGGGAGCACATCTTTGGTGCGTGAATTGTTGTCAGGTAGAAACTGAAATATTTTTTCAAAGGGACCAAGTCTTTTATCATGTATGTATGTTTTAAGTAACCTATGGAACTATTATATATATATAGTCCCTCTTAAATCTATAATCCACAGTTATTATAAGTTTGTTATTCCTTCAAGACAGATTTAACGTTTTGTTCCTTTTGCTAGATATTTTCTAGATATTTTAAAGAACAACTTCGTTGCACTTTGCTATTGATTCTTTATTAGTAAATTTTATATTTTTTGTTTTACATTAACAATTTATTTATTCTTATTTATTTAACAAATTGTATACGTTTAAAATGAAGAATAGAAAAGAATAGAAAACCTCTCTAATTATTTGATGAAAACAAAAAATAAAATATTTTTTCCTGTTAAAAACCCCATGAATTTTAATCCCACTTAAACTTTCAATTCCAGAATTATCAAATGGATATCTAAAATAACCAGATTTCCTGCAATGAGATCATCAAGAAGTTTTACCGATGGGATTCCTTCTGTATACGATGTCAAAAGGAAAAAAACATCGCAGTTTTATGAAGTTCCGACCCAGGAGCAGTCGTGCTACGCTCGAAACCGCTTTTACGGCAATTGAACGCGATTAGGGAAGCCGGCCGTGCGGACGGGATCGAAATCGGCATCTGCTTATGACAGCGGCGCGTTATAATCCGTATTGTGCATTATGCTGCGTTCACAGGGGCGCGTCCCGATGATCATGGTATTGTCGTCAAATCGCGAAAACAATGCCCTCCGTTTCTGTCGGCCGATTTAATCCTTAACACACGATCTTGCTAAGATAACGCCGTCAGTGTTAAACAGTACATCGTGCATTATCAAAGTGTTACAACCATATGTTTTAAAAATCTAAAAATTTTAAATTGAATATTTTTTTTTTGTTTGATACATGTTTATATTGATAGAATAAATAATTTGTTTCATGAAAATATTAATTAATAGCTAATTTTGTACATTGAAAGCTATAGGATGAAGAAAAACGAATGAACTAGCTTAACAGATCATTAAAATATTTTAATAGTATTTATAGATAGATCAGGATCACCGAATTAATTATTTTTTGAAACATCGGTTAAGAATTAAACGTATTGACAGATTAGTAAGTTAAATCAAACAAATTATTATATTATAAATTGAATGATTACTATACATGAAAATCAATATATTATATTTTAATCTTTCTGTTAAAGGTAGATTTGTAATGGCGCAAATTGGAATGAGTGAATAAAATTCGGTTGAATTCATGGAGGCAAGAAAAACAGTGGATTGAACAATTTTAAAAATGAGGACAAAGGGGCAAATTAGAGGCATGTGTGAAAGGTGCGCCTAAGCTTGATTTTTATCGCATGAATCAAAGGCGAGTCCGACCTATATGTTGCCTTGCCTGTAACCTCCTACTCGAGTGCCTGTAACCCGCTGCAATCCCCCTGTGTAGCCCCGTGTAACCCCCCATTGTCGAAGTTATGCGCACCGTAGAATGCAACGAAAGCACTTTAAGGGGCTCCGTGCAGTAGACCGTGTCTCAAGAGTCTACCACCGTCTGTCTAATTCTTTGAATATTAGCGGGATCGGCCACCCTCGAAAATTCTTGTTCCCCTTCGAGGCAGTCCTCGTCCGCCGCCTCACGTGTGCGCCAGGAATACCGATCTATGGAGAACACAATTTTCCAATTGCCGCTTTATGAAGTGATTACCCAATACCCTTTTCTAGGAATACTTGCATCTATTTGCTGATATACAATGATTCATGTTTTACTATACATGAAAATCAATATATTATATTTTAATCTTTCTGTTAAAGGTAGATTTGTAATGGCGCAAATTGGAATGAGTGAATAAAATTCGGTTGAATTCATGGAGGCAAGAAAAACAGTGGATTGAACAATTTTAAAAATGAGGACAAAGGGGCAAATTAGAGGCATGTGTGAAAGGTGCGCCTAAGCTTGATTTTTATCGCATGAATCAAAGGCGAGTCCGACCTATATGTTGCCTTGCCTGTAACCTCCTACTCGAGTGCCTGTAACCCGCTGCAATCCCCCTGTGTAGCCCCGTGTAACCCCCCATTGTCGAAGTTATGCGCACCGTAGAATGCAACGAAAGCACTTTAAGGGGCTCCGTGCAGTAGACCGTGTCTCAAGAGTCTACCACCGTCTGTCTAATTCTTTGAATATTAGCGGGATCGGCCACCCTCGAAAATTCTTGTTCCCCTTCGAGGCAGTCCTCGTCCGCCGCCTCACGTGTGCGCCAGGAATACCGATCTATGGAGAACACAATTTTCCAATTGCCGCTTTATGAAGTGATTACCCAATACCCTTTTCTAGGAATACTTGCATCTATTTGCTGATATACAATGATTCATGTTTTAATTTGTCATTGGTCCTTGAAATAAGTGTTATGGAAAAGAAGAAAAAATATTGTGAGTATTGACTACCAATGTAATTATACATCTTATTAATTCCGTAATATTAAGTGGTTTCTTATGTTTCTACAAAAGCTTGTTTTATTTCTTTCAATTATTTTCTAGTTAAAATTAATTATGTATTCCAATTTATATTATTAATAGCCAATATTAGTCGGAAGATGAGGATGAAAATTATATCATTATATTTCCAAGAACTCTGGATATTATTATTATTATTATTATTATTTTTTGAAATACTTTTCATCAATATATCATATGTAATATAAAATTTTATATATTTTAAACATTCATTTTAATTCAGCTCATTTTCAGGATCAAGTATCGCACATATAAATCGCTCATAATCATAGAAGGTGCTTGAAAACAAGAGGAAGAAAGAGAAGGAGCAAAGGTTGCGAAGAAAAGCGCTTTGTATCTGGCGAGTCCTTTCGCGCGACTTTCCGCGTATGTTTTGTGGTGCGACTGATGCGTAGGGCGGAGAGACCTTATCTAAAAGCCACGAAGAGGTACTAGACGAGGGAAGTACTCTCTCGCCGCTCCCGTTCGTTAATTCCTTTTCCACCGATAATCCACTCGTTGAAGCCGGTGGAGTTTCGGGTGTGCGGCGACTTCGAGAGGTCTACAAACAGGCCTTGCTTGCCTCAACGCGTTCTTGCATTCTCTACTTTCACGTGTCACTCATTCCTTTTTGTCCTGAGCCTTCTTGCCCTCGCGAGCTGGACGATGCAATTGAAGTATGAATGTATATACCCCGTTGCTGTTCTCGCGTTTGTTGTTTAGAATTTCTTTTTCATCTTTACTTTGTAACCGCGTAAAAAATTTACAAAAACTTCAGAAAATATTTAAGATGTTTTAGTAATTAATGTTAAAATAACGAAATAAGAGATTTCTAAAAGAAAATGAAAAAAAAAAAATATGATATTCAAGTAAATCTTATTGAGTATATATATATATATATAGAGAGAGAGAAAGAGAGAGATATCTGAATTGTATCCGGATCGAAAATTTGCAGGCAGGAATGGCAAAAGATTCGACGAAATGAAGGTGGGATATGAACTGACAGAGAGAATTGTTATTTCAAGGGAATGGTCTGTCCGTCAGTCCGTTTGTCCGTCGCTCCCACAACGGTGCGGTGTGTAAACAGAGAAAGTTGAACGAGATAGGGATATAACTAGTGTATATTCCAGTGTATATAGCAATCCATGGAAGAAAGAAATTCGTGACAAATACCGATTCTTGACGATAAAAGCATATAACTTTACATCTTTACCATAGAAACGGAAATATAAACAACTGATCGTTTCGATATTTCTTTTCCTTGTACAATTTTTATTTTTGAGAATATTCAAAAACTTAGTATCTACATCAGTGGATATTTTCAATCCTGTTAAAATATTGCTTGTAAAAAAAAAAAAAAATAGGACTCTAATCGGATGATCAGACGCGAAAAATATTAGAAAGGAAACGAGAAACAGCTTGTTTATCTTCGATGGGTAGGTCGATGCTTGTGCAAAAAAGGCAGCAGGGCCTGCAGGGGTCCGGCCAAGGTTTGCTCAACACCAAGAAAAGGGGAGCTTGGCTTTAACTTCCGATTAACTCGTGGTTGACTCTCGTTCAGCCAGGTAAATGAACCGCTTCTAGCGTAACCGTTCGAGCGAATCTGCGAACACCCTACGCTTTTCTTTCTTTCTGTATACATCATAAAAATCTACCTGTTCCTTTGAAACAAATTAATTGAAGGAAACGAGTTTTTTCACGCTTGATTTAATCCAATATCGAATCTAGAATTTTCGTGGCCATTAATAAATTCTTTTCTGTTTCCAGATTACGCACCAGTTATTCGTCGTTGAAGCGAAGATGGGATCTATTAATCGCAACTCTATTTCGACCATATTTAAACGATCCATTCAGAGTATTTATCAGAGTCTTTAATCAAGGATTATCCACCTGGACACACGGCTCCGCCTGTGCACACGCCATTTATCTCTTATCTTTGACATTAATTAGTGTATCGAATAGCGATAAATTCAGAGAGCAGTTCATCAAAGCGGAGGACACGCGACATTTGGGAGGAACATCGAGTACCTGTTTGGCTTATGCTCGACAGAGGCCCGAGATCGTACATCCGTTCGAGCAGGGAGTATGCGGTTAAAGTGGACGATTGATCAAGTTAGCGTAACGTCATTACGTCGCGTACATTGAGGGTTCACGCAAAATCACCACCACCATCGCAAGCAACGGAGTATTGGGCGTTACCACCCTTCTACTAGGCCCGCCAACTGTTTCCTCGGGCAATTTCACCCGACACCAACGTTCGACGGATTATCCAGCGGAAACCCCCATGTAGCCGCGGGCTGCAGGATAGTTCCGATGTTGCTCGAAAGAAAGACGCGTGTAATTGACGAGAATTGCCACTCGGGGTGTTCCGAACCGTTTCTGAACGCATCCGTTTGCCCCGGGCTGCACGGGTGATTTTCTTCTGATCTATTGTTATTGAAAGTGATCTTGATTCTATTCTTTTAAAGTTAAATTTGTAAAAATTATTCGTGTTTTGATTTTTTAGATTGTTGAAAGAAAAAATTGAAGAAGAAAATATTTATCCATTCTCTTTTTTATCGAGTGGTATGAAATATGAAAAGTGTGGAATTACTTTAGAATCTCGGAATAAGCTTTTCCAAAGGAAAGCCACTACTAACTTAACAATTATAATTATTTGCAGAAGGAGTTGGGGGCAAGGAAAAATCGCAGGAAAAAAGGGATTTGGAAGGTTTGATTTTAAGTGACGGACAGTGTTTCCATCGCAAGGAACCGCAACGATGAGCTTGCGAATACCAGGATCAAGCAACGTCAAATTATGATTAGGGCTGTTAATTGTCCCGTGTTGACCCTTCTGAGTGGTGGCCCGTGGGCAAACACGATTCCCGCCTCCCTTTTGTTGTTTTAACTCAATACCGTCGGCCGGGGATGACTTACCGATTACCAGTCGGGATGTCTGAAAACCTGGGGTCTTCGGCCCAGCAAATAGAAATGACTTTCCAGTTTCTCTTTAACGAGCCTCCCATTTAATTCGCTTTCTGTGTGAACAACTAATCATACGTTCCTCCTTTTTCAACAATAAAAGAGGTGTAGAGTGAATAATACCACTTTCGAATCTCCAATATCTTAAAAATATAGAAGAATAATTACAAGAGCGATAAATTTATATTTGTTTCAAAAAAATTATAGGGACAATCGAAAAAGTTTGATCTACGTGCAAGAGTAGAATTAAAATTCAACGAGTTTTCAATCGTGCCACGCGTGGAACACTCTTGATGCTGTAAAATAATTGAAAGTTTTGAAGAAAATGCGGGAATCATTTGGTCGCACTTTTCCACCCTCTAATTTCTTCGTCGTTTCACGGCAGGGATGATCCAATAGCCGGGGATGCGAATGTTTGCGGTTCAAAATGTATGCACCCTCGCGTCCCGAAATTGCAGTGGGATTACAAAAGAACGGGTCCGCGCGCGTTCTACAGGGCGTAGCATAAAAAGAATTGGTGGCGTATTACGCGACCGGCACGTTCGAGTGTATTTACAATACACTCGTAAATCTGCCTCTTCGTCGCGATAATTGATGCAAACACGTTGAAAAACTTATGAGACGACGGTAGTTGTATCGTATAGATCCGTGTTGGGAGAACAATTGTTGCCGATTATTTTCAAACAGCCGAAGAGGCTGCTTAGAAGAGCTCGCTGAATCGTTTCCGTTGCAATCAATGCACCATTTGTACGAAGTTTCATTATAGCATGAAAATGGGACGTAGGTAAGTAGAAATACACGGTAGCCATATAGGTAACTATTCTGATTCATCATTAATATCTTCGTTAATGTCTACCTTACAATGTAATTTTCCTCAAGTTCGAAACTTTTTCAGAGAGATTTTTTTGAGACGACGTTTCTCGCAAAAGTATTCGCAAAAATTCAAAAAATCTGAAGAATTTACGAATCCATTGTCATTTTCAATCTCGTCGACGATAACGAATATTCTCGCGTTGAATTTTGCACGGATCTTCAATTTAATTCGATTATTCTTCATCGAAAATCAATTGGGCCAATTGTTCAAGGTCATCAAAGCGTATCGAATAACTTGGATATTTCATTGCTGCAACGTCACAAGATGTCTCTTCGATCGACGACTTTTGCAGTGACCTGTAGGTTTCACGGGAAGACGAGGAAAAAGAGAGGAATGCAATTACGCCGGCCACATACTGCCTGTGTGCGTGGCGGTATGACGCGGGGGCGGCCGCAAAAGCCGACGACATATTCATGCGTGCGTTATTATGCGAGGGAGCCGTGAGTGCACTCGAGAGATACGCGCACGCGTTCCACGACGTCCAATTAACCGCACGCATTTCGACACCAAAGGAATTTCACGCGCGTGCCCGCGCGAATCTTCCAAGATAACCTCAAATCCGTTCGACCGCGAAGAAAATATACAAAACGGAAGCGGAACAGAAATGTTCGCAATGATAATAATTCGAACAAGATATTTCCACCTCTAAACGATTATCCACGTCGCTGAAACGCATTATTACGTTTAAAATAGTGTAAGTAGCTTGGTAAGATCGAATAATTTTTGATGGAGATCAAAACAGAGCCGATCGTTTCGATGGTTCTCGTGTTAAAAGGATGCGATGTTGTCACAGCGACCTTAGCCTGCATATTCATGACCGTCGAAAATGTTCCTGGCGAGAAAAATTTCATGACACTTTTCCACCAGCGTTTCGCCGCGTCGACGATCCGTTTCCCGTCTTTGGGACATGGCTGCCTCTCCTCTCTCTCTCTCTCTCCCT